CTGCGCCTCCTCTGAGTGTCCGTATGCGTTACTCTTTCCTCCGAGTTGTAGGACGTCCACTCAGCCAGTGTTCCTGTGGTTCTGGATGGTGTCCGTTCTGTCTTTTAGTTTCACTTTTGAAATGGTTGTTCGAGGCAGCAAACTCCCGCGTTAACCTATGCCGCCATCTTGGTTCTCTCCTTGATATCTTCATTTTCTTTTCCCCTGGATGCCTTTGGAATCTCTTATCTTAGAATCACATAAGCACTTCCTAGTCTCTGAAATTCAAAACAGTCTTCATGGAATTTGCTAGACTTGACAGCTTTGTCCTTTAAACTTTGTGGAGGCGGAAGAGCCCATTCGAGCTTCCAAAGGAAATGCATTTCCTTTCTCAGCCCTGGGCAGACACATCAGCCTCAGGAACAGGTGGCCCGAGGGCCCTATTGCTGCCTTGAGTCTTCACTCCTCTCTCTCAATTCCACATGGAGGGGCTTTCCCAGGAGGAACTGAGCAAACAGGAGTTTATACGGAAAACGCACTCACTTGGAGAGAACACACACGGGTGCCTCGCTGCCCTGCTCTTCGTCACTGTCACAGTGTCCTCCCCACCGGTCACATTTGGGGCTTTTGCTTCACAGAGGCCCCTGCACCCTGGTTCTGGAGGAAAAGCCCTCCAAGGCCTCAGCTCTCACAGAGCACGGAACCTCTCTCGCTTCAAATTAGGTTAAAAATGGAACCTGATCAGGTAGCCCGCAAACTTAGAAACACTTAGTCCAGTGGGAAGCCTGGGTTCCCTGTGAGTCAACTGCTAAAAGCTCCAGTTACTTTATGGATTTGATTTTAGTGACATTGGCAAAAGCCGTCAGACAGCAGCAGACCCCAAGCCCATGGTTTGTTTTCTCTCCGAAGCCTCTGTCGGGTTCCAGCATGGCTCCCACGCTGGGGGCAGGCTCCACGCACAGTGCCTTCCCACACCAAGCAGAGGTTCCTCTTGCTTTCCTCTTCGCGGGCTCTGTCCCGGGTCAGCTCCAGGCCGTCTGTCCCAGGCCACTCTCAGGTCAGCTCGGCCACCGGAGATAGAGCTCCGCCTGTCCATGTAGCCCAGCGGTTCTCAACCTGTGGGTCGCGACCCCTTTGGGGGTCGAACGACCCTTTCACAGGGTCGCCTAAGACCATCGGAAAACACATATATAATTACATATTGTTTTTGTGATTCATCACTATGCTTTAATTATGTTCAATTTGTAACAGTGAAATTGGGGGTCACGACAACATGAGGAACTGTATTAAAGGGTCGCGGCATTAGGAAGGTTGAGAACCACTGACGTAGATGGAGCCAGACTCAAATCCTGTTGGACTAGACACCCAGTGGAGCGGCCCGGTCTTTTGTTTTGACCCCTTACATGTGGGAGGGGAGAGACAGGCCCAGAATCTGTTTGTTATGCCTACGTGCACCAGAGATGTCATGTTAAATATTAATAGGCATGGCTACCAATGACTAAGACAGCTAAGTGGAACGAGGGACTTTTACCAGCTTAGAGCTTATCGGTGACAGACGTGGCAACAATGCCTGAAGCCTAGGTGTCTTGGAAACGACCTTTTATGCTGGCCTCCTGGAGTTGTGTAGGAAGAGGGAGCATTTCTTGTTTCTGGTCTTGCTAGGAGCTCTGTTACCAACAGCTGGGATGGCCCGGAGTTTTCAAGGCCAAGTGCAGGAATCTTGTCAGTACTGAGGAGGAAAAGGGTAGGCCTGGGAAGCCAAAAACTCACCATGTAGACTGACAGATGGCAGAGAGAATGGAAGATGAGGGCGTGAGCATTCTGCAGCTCCCGTCCCCACCTCATGGGTGTTGCGTGAGATGCGATGAGATGAGATGACACAAGTGCTTGGCACCTGGAACACAAGAAGTGCTCAATAAATGTCTGCCGTTACCATCATGTGTACACAGTGCCTGGTGACCAGTAGGTGCTCAATAAACCTTACTTCCCACAAAGACCAGTCTAACCTTTGTTTGGGGTTGAGAGATGGGCTATTGGCTGGGTGGCAGTCAGAAACAGGAGGTACAGTGGGGCCTTGACTTACGAGTTTAATTTGTTCCAAGACCGAGCTCGTTAACTCAAATTACTCTATCAACTCAATGCAAAAAATCGGCGGAGAGACAGCTGGTATCTCAAAAAACTCATTAGTCGGGACACTCGTAAGTCAAGGCCCCACTGTACTGAGACAGGAGGCAGGCAAGGCCAAGGCTGAGCCCCCACCTTTGCTCATCCCTTTTCCCATTTCATCTCCACCACAGCCCCATGAGGCAGGTAGAGCAGTGTCACCCATTTTTCAGAAGGGGATACTGAGGCCCTGAAAGGCTCATCCCCCACCTTAGGGCTCTTCAGCCGTGGGTCTCCTCTATCTCCTCCCGTTGGGGGTGGGAGTAGAGGCGGTGGGTGCTGGGGGTGGGACAGCCCCAAGGGCCCTCAGAGGGGCGGCTGCGTTTGCTCATAGGAAGTCCGAGGCACCAGGGACCTTCCAGGCCCGGGACGAGGGGCGGTCGCAGCGGCCCAGCCAAGGTCAGAGCCAGCTTCTCCGGAGACAGTCCAGCCCTGCCCTCAGCAGGGAGGTGAGCACTGCCAGCCTGCCCGGGGCCCCTGCACCCCAAGGGGCGAGCCACTGCTTTTCCCCTCCCCCAGGTGCCAGGCGGGGTCCTGGGAAGGGAGGTCCTTTATGAAAGTGTCAGAGACCCAGTCACGGGTGTCCAGCTCCCCCCTCGCCCAGAGCCAGCAGTCCTTTGAAGGCGGCCCTTCCTTGTTTCCTTCCTTCACTAAGTAGCTGCTAGTGAGTTTTCAGGGAAAGCCTTGGACTCAATAGTCCGCCTCTAAGGGCCATCCCTTCCAGACCTGGAATTTATATTTTTATATATTTAAATATATATAACCCGGGAACTGGACGTGACCTCCTGGTTCATAGGTCGATGCTCAACCACTGAACCACGCTGGCCGAGCGGGATTTATATTTTTAAAGAAACTCTTAGAGGGCAAGGCCTGAGCTAGTGGAAGGGAGTGTTGGTGTGGAAATTCGTGCACCTGATAGCCCAGGTTGGAATCAATATCGTGGGGGAGGGGGAAGCGGGGACAGTGAGCAGCTCTTTGCAGATCTCTTTCTGGAACTGCGGAAAGTGGGTGAGAGGGAAGAGCCGACACCCCCGCCCCCGGGAGGGAGCGCAGAGACTGTAGGTGCTTTTGACCTGCTTTAATCCCAGCTGCTGTGAGGACACAGCCTGCCTCTCCCTGTGGCCTGGCCAAGAGCCCAGTGTCCTGAGCTCCCCGACAGAGGCCACCTGGTCAGGGTCCCGGAGCCTCACCCACCCCTCACCTGTCCTCAGGTAACCACGCCCTCTGCGAAGCAGGCAGAACCAGCCCGGAGGAGCCGTGCAGAGGCCCCTCCTCCCAGGAGACCTGGGGGGGACCTGCGGCTCCAGGGGTCCTCGCCGCCCCCAAGGACATCAGCCAGGACTTCTGAGAGGGAACGGCGAACAGAGAAACCTCCGGAGAGGGGCCGGGCGGGCCCAAGACAGCCTCCGGGTGGGTGGCAGAGCCAGGAGGAGCTGCCTGGGGCCGCGGGGCCGCACAGACACTTGGAGAGAGGCTGGAGCAGCCAGGAGGAGGGCCCAGGCCTGGGGGGCTGGCAAGGACTTGGGGAGCCCAGCGGGGGCGCTACCAGAGCCCTGGAGGGAACATGGAGGGGCCCTCTCAGGGAGTCTGAGGAGAGCTGGGGGCAGTCAGAGGCCTGGGAGAAGCCCCCCAGTAATGGGGTGCAGAAGCCCCCTGACAGGCCAGCTCAAAGGGGCCGGGGCGCCCTGCAGGAGCTGTTCGGTCCTCCCCAGCCTATGAGCCTTCCGGAGAACACCCGGGAAGGCCCAGCAGAGTTCTCGAATTCCTGGAGGTCTGAGACAGACACTGCTATGGGCCGGGGAACTGAGGGAGCATGCCCACACCTGCATGGCCCTGAGAGGCGCCTCGAGCTTGACTGGAGGGACCTGCTGAGCCTTCTTGGGATGCCCAGAGAGGGGGCCTGGGCCCACCCAGAGGAGCCAACGCTCGCTTCCCGTCTTCCAAGGCTGGACTGGGAAGGCCTCCTGGAGCTCCTGCAGACCCAGCTGCCCCGAAAGGACTCAGCTGGACACTGGGGTGGCCCAGTCACAGCTCCAGGGCCAGGGCTGGGTTCCCCAGGCACAAAGGATGCCCTTGAACGAGAGCGACAAAGCCAGCCTGCCAGCTGGGCAGAGGCCACCCTAGTCAATGGACACAGCCCCGAGCAGGGGCCCCAGAGCTTGGCCCAGCTGCCCAGCCCTGCCTGCACCTCCACCCAGTGGCCAAAGACCAAAGTGACGAGTGGACCAGAGACCTCAAGTACAGCTGGCCTGGAGACGAGCCAGCTGGGGAGTAGCAGCCCTGCAGAAGGCCCCAGCTCAGCAGACTGGGAGGTAAGTCCGTCTCAAAGCTCGGCCCTAATCCTCCCTCCTGACCAGAGCCTTTCCCAGTCACCAAAATGGCCACCGGTGATAATGGCCAACCCTCCAGTGAGAATTTACTATGTGCTACACCCTGGTGTGACTGACTTAGGGGTATTTTCCTCATTTAATTTCCATGGCAACCTCATGAGAAAGCCACTGATAATTTACAAATAAGGAAACTGAGATAGAGAGGTCAAGCCACTTCCCCCAAATCACACAGCTAGTGAGGGCTGGGGCAGGGGTGAACCCCAGGTCTGCTCAGTGCAGATCACCTGAGGCCTCAGGCAAGATGCTCTGTCCAGCCTCCTCCCCTCCCGGCCCCACAACACCTGGTTTGTGTGGCCCTGGTGGCTCTTGGCTGACTTTGGCCGGCACTGTAGCCCGTGTGGTCATGGCCCCGCCCCTTGCTGTATTCCAGGTTCCTCTCAGTCCAGAACAGGCTCACTTACCTCGCTCTGGTCCTTACAGCTCCTTTCGGGCACAGTGAAGAGGTTGCATCTGCTCACTGAGTGATCGATCGGCTGCTGAGACAGATTGCTTAAATGAGGACCCATGTGCAAAGTAGGCTCAATGCCTGGCACATAGTAGGTGCTCACCAAGTCCCTTCCCTGCCTTCTTGGCCCAGGGCAGGGTCACAGAGTCAGTGGTTCTCTGGTGCTGCCTGGAGCCTTTATCTGGAGGTGATGGGCTGGGAGGGTCCTGGAGGCCAGAGCCCTGCAACCTGCCTCAGCTCCCCGGAGCACAGCACGTGGTTTGGGACCCGTAGCCCATCTTGGCCCCAGTCTCCCCTATAAAATAGGACCAACTCCTTCCCTGACAGGTACCACTGGGATGATGCGCGGCTCCTGTTTGTTTGTCTGACCCTCAGTGTGCAAGGATGATGGCAGGGCTTGTGGTGTGCCGGGCCCTGGCCTGGGCGCTGTACATGCTCTGCCATGTACAAGGTTCAGACCCATTAGGCATTTGCCAGGGGTCACACCTGCGTAAGTCCAAGCTTTTAACCACCATGTTGTGAGGCCTCAGAGTCCACGGCAGGACTAGGGAGTCCCTCCCCCGTGTTTCTGGCTTTTATCCATTTGTCCTCTAATGGATTCAATGCACAGTCACCAGAGAGGCAGGCATAAGCCAGTGTGGTTCTGTCAGGCTTCCCGGGGAGGCAGGTGGACTACTTGTAGCTCAGGGAGGGCGCCATGCTGTGTCCCAGTGAATGGGGATCAAAGGGAAGAGGGAGAGCAGGGAGATTCTTCAGCTAGAGTTACTCCATAGTGAGGCTCAGGGGTCCTGGGGAGGTTAGGAGATGGTGACTGGGGAGGGGCAGGAACACCACGTGCTTAAGGGCATTTCTACACACACACACACACACACACACACACACACGCATTTCCACAGATGACAACAGGCATTCACTAGGTCCTGCTGGGGCTCCAGCTGCTCACCTCTGTGACCTCCTTGCACCCAGATTTGCCCTCTGGCTGTGCTGAGCTGGCTGCAGAGCCCTGTGAGCACATCTCCCTGCCTTAGTGCATGCTGTTCCCATTGCCCAGGATGCTCTTTCTCTCTCTCTTCACTAAACGCCATTCACTGTGCAAGTCAGATCAGGTGCCCTGTTCTGAGACACTTTCCCCAGGTTGGTGATGTCTTCCTTCTGGTAGTTCTACCTTCATCTGGTCATACTCAGTTGTCATCTCCCCATAAGAAGCATGAGCTCTGTGGGGCAGGAGGTGTGCCTTCTTTCTCTCTGTATCCCTGGCCCCGGGCCCAGGGCCTGACACAGTGGAAGAGGTCAGCTCAGTGGATGGTTGACCGGTGAATACATGGATGCTGAAGTGCGATGCAAGCCCTGGCTGGTGTTGCTAAGTGGTTAGAGCATTTGCAGACCCAGTATGTGGGTTTGATTCCTGGTATGTGGGTTTGATTCCTTTCAGTATGTGGGTTTGATTCCTGGTCAAGGGCATGTACCTGGTTGCAGGTTTGATCCCGGGCCCTGGCTGGGGCACGTGCGGGAGCCAACCAATTGATGTCTCTCCCATATTGATGTTTTTCTCTCTCCTTCCCTCTCTCCCTTCCACGCTCTCTAAAAATCAATGGAAAAAATATCCTTGGATGAAATTAACAAAAAAAGAAAAAGTAAAAAAAGATGGAATATGGGAGGGGAGTGGGTAGATGATAAATTATTGAAAATGGATATGTGAATGGACGGTGGATAGGGCATATATGCTGGACAAATAATAAATAGATGCTGGATGGATGATGGATAGATAAATATATAGATAGGTGGGTGATGAATGGAATAGATAATAGATGTTGGATGGATGGATGTTGCTTAGATGATGGATGGGGTGATAAATGGATGGATGAATGTTGGGTAGAATATGGATGGATAGATGGATGGATAGATAGATGGATGTTGCATGGATGGGTAACTGTGGAATATGGATGATGGATGGTAAATGAATGTTAGAAGGGTAAGTAGATGGACTGAGGAAGGATACATGGATGTAGGATGGATGGATAGATGATAATAGAGGATGGATGTATAAATGGGAAAATGGATGTTGGATAGTTAGTAGGTGAGTAATGTAGGATGTACGTTGGATGGGTACATGGATCTATGGATATTGGATCTAGATGGATGTTGGATGATGAATGGATAGATAAGAAGGTGGATAGACAAGTGGAAACTGGGGAATAACTTGGACTAAGCTGTGTTCTTTCTTATCTCCAGTTCCAATCAAAGGAGCCTAAGGAGTCAGAACCGAGAGGAGACTCATTGACTGGCCAGAAGCAGGCAGACTCGGTAGTTGGGTCTTGGGTGTGGACACATGGGGAGGGGAGTGGAAGGGATGGAAATCAGATTGGAGATGGGCTGAGGTCCTCAGCTGACCTCTGGGTTCATCCAGACCCAGGTGGGCTCTGTAATGGGTCATCCGTGTGCATGCGGGGCCTTGAGAAGCGGGGCTCTGGTGGAGCTGGGTGGCAGAGCCACCTTCTGGCTTGGGGATTTGGGTGAGGACTTGAGGCCAGGGCTCTGCTCTTAACTTGCTAGCATGCCCTGGAAAGGTAACTAAAACGCCTCCCCTGGGTAAATAGCAGTTTGGCTCCAATGGTCTCTGAAGGCAAGGTCCTTCTGGCTCTGGAGGGCTGCCAGGCGGGGAGGAAGGGTAGAGCTTCCAGAAGCTGGAGCAAGAGAAGCGTTGAAGGGGCTGAGGAAACGCCACACTCCGCCAGGTCTGGAGCATCTCCAGGATCCTGGGGCAGGACAGATGTGTGCAGGGGTGGGGCCCACTGGGGCTGCTCCGAGGCCTGGCTGCAGCGGTAGTGCATTGCTTTGTCCCGCCCCTCCCCCTGACCTGCCAAACAGACTGTTCTCCTCGCCCTCAGCCTCCAGAGAGGTGAGGTCAGAGCTCAGTGCCTGGGGCAGCGGGAGGGGGGCGGGGAGGAGACAGGCTGTTTGGGGTTGTGCTTTCCTTACCCTGCGGTTCTGCTGTCCCACATGCCACCTGATTGGGGTGTCTGTCTGGCAGCCTGGAGCCCCGACTCTGGCCCTGCTGCTTGTCAGAGCTGGGGGGATTCTGCCCAACCCCTCCCTGTGCAGATGAGAAAACACAGGGCAGGGGCGTTGTCCCAGGTCATACAGTTGGTGGCTGAACTCAGACTAGAACTGGGGCTCGGAACCCCCGCCCAGCGCTCTGTCTGCTCCCCCCAGGGCTCCTCCTGGCCCTGCCCCGACTCCCTGCTTGGCCTTGCACAGCAGCAGCAATGTCCCATGTGCTTGGTGGGCCAGTCTTCCTGACAGGTGGCTGTAGGATCTGTGAGATGGGAGGGGACAGGGGACTGGTCACTGAAGGCACTTCCAGCTCTCACAGGGGCTCTGGCAACTTTACGCTTCCTCTTTTTGGGTTATTTCTTCACACTTCCTGGGGCCAGGGTTTCATGAACAAAGAGGAAATAGTAATACAGGGGTCCCTCTAGGCTCCACAAAATGGGCCCATCCCAGCAACACGGAAAGCCTCTCAATCACCCCCAGGCAGCCAGGACTACACAGAATTGATAGCAGCCTCATTCATTCATTCATTCACTCATTCATTCATATTCCCTTAGTGAGCACCTTCTGCATGCTGGGTGTGGGCGGAGTGACTACAGCGCCAGCATGGCGCTCGGTCTAGTGGCCAGCACTGTGATGGGACGTGGTGGCGGTGGGGCAGTCCTTCCCCAAAGCCCTCCTGCACCTGTGCTTTGAGGCTTCATGCTCTGCCTCCTGTGAATCTCCGGACCCGGAGGGTTGGGACATCGGGGCTCTGTCTTCCTTCCACCTGCTCTGGGACTTGGGGCAAATGCTTTTGCTTCGCTGGGCCTGTTCCTCCCAAGGGGGCTCACCTGGGGGTCCTACGAGGATGGGAGGACAGGTGGCTGTAGGAGCCGGTGATCCATTCCTTTCACAAAGGTGAGGAGAGTAGGCAGATGGGGGACTTGGGGCTAGAGGGGCCTGTGTGACCCCTTGGCCCCAGGTGGCTGTGCCATGGGGAAGAGGGTCCAGCGTTCCCACCTCTTTAGATATTTCAAGAGAAGTTAGAAATATGTCGGTATATGTTAACTCTCTTGATTATTTAACACTGGATCCTGCCGGCCACATGGGGTTCGACGTTAGGAGCCCAGTCAGGCAAACACCATGTAGCATGAAAGGTGTACCGAGCTCCATTCTCCCAGCTCTGGGAGAGGAGAACAGGGGAACCCTGGGCCTCTAGGTGGGCACGGCAGGATGGGCAGGGGAGGCTGTAGTCAGGGACTTTCCCATCTCCCCAAAGGGACCTGGGGCCAACACCGGACCCTGTTTGACAGGCAGACAAGAGGCCAGCGGAGGGCAAGGCTGGGAGCCCACTCAAGGGCCGACTGGTGACCTCATGGCGGATGCCCGGGGACCGGCCCACGCTGTTCAATCCGTTCCTGCTATCCCTGGGGGTCCTCAGGTGGCAAAGGGTAGGCTGGCTCCAGTGGGGTGGGAGGGGTGAGGGCGGGGAGTGGGGGAGGAGGGGGAGGAGGTTGGTGTTAGTCAAAGAGGAGAGAGTGGAGGCCGAGAGGGCAGGATCTGGGGGCTCCCATGAGAAGGGAGGGATAAGCAGAGTCCTGAGCCCCCATGGCCTCTGCGAGTGAGTGGGTTGCCCACTCCAGGGTGAGGGGTGACTGAATGAGCTTCAGAGCTGAAAGCTCCCAGTCTGCAACCGGCCAGGGAGAGCCAGGTTCGGGGGAGGAGGCCCTGTGAGGGGCTCTGGGATTGCAAAGTGTGTCTCAGTCCTGGGCGGGAGCCAGTTTCACAAACATCTGGCATTACGTAACCCATCCCCTGCCCAGAGAGGGCTGTGAACACTCAGGCCTCTGGTTTGGGGTTTCCTCAAGGGCAGGGAGGGGAGGCAGCTGTGACCTGCTCCCTCCTGCCCCTTCACAGCCAGGGAGAAGGGGGCTGGCTCACGAGGTCTCTTCTCTCAGTGACAGGCGGACTGTCACCCTCTTGCTGGCTCTGGGCCCAGCACTGGGCTGGGCGTGTTAAAGACATACACCCATTTTACAAACCAAGAGACTGAGTCTCAGGGAGGTGAGCTGACTTGCCTGAGGTCAAAAAGCTGGGGTTTAGAGAAGCCAGCTTCTTGGTGATTTTCTTCATTCCTAGATGAGAGAATGGCTGCAGCTGAGCTCACTGAGCCTCGGTTGCCACATCTGTCTAAGGGGGGCAGGGAATCTATGGAGACACTCAGGGCTGCAGGGAGGGCCCTGGGAGATCAGGATGCACAGAGGTGGGGGGGGGCAGGCGTGGCTAAATACCAACTTCCCCATCCACTTCATAATTTCCTCTCTGCTGCCTTTGGGGCTTTAGTAAGAGGGTATTGAGAAGAACATGGTTACCTGGGCAGGGTGGTTCAAGCCACGGA